TAGATTGAGGATGGGTCCAAGTCCCTCACCCCCACCCAAGTCTTTAAAACATACATTACTGAATCTTTTTGAAGTTCTAACACTGAAAGATTTATACTCTAAAAATGGATCAGAGAAAAATACTGCCCTGAAACACTACTACAGGGGCTGCAGTGGACGGATACACTTTTTCATTCCCATTGAGAATGCCAGAGTAGGAGCTGCGTGGTCAGATCAACACAGGTTCAAACCTAGCCCTGACACTTATGAACTATGCTACCTGCCTGACCTCTCTGAGCCCTGTAAAATGGGAATATCACCTCTTACCTCACAAGATTGCTTTGAGCGTTAAATGGGGGGAAAAATAGCTTAAGGGGAGCACTAAATAAAGGCTAAGTACTACTGTCACTATTAACCTCCCCCTGGTACCACAGGAGTTTTATCTGTGGCCACACAGATCGAGGAAATAAAGCCCAATTTTCTCTAAGTTAAGAAAGGAATCTTTTGGGTAGTGAAAAGACTTTGGGGGGAGCAACAGAATCAAAGAGAACTGGCTTTAATATAAGATATATTAAACTTCAGAGATATCATCACAGAACTGAGACAATCATTCTAATTTCCTTCTACTAGGGCTAATGTATTCAGCAAGTGGTCTAAATCACTCACAGCAAGCCAGGAATTCTAACAAGAGCCCAATCTTCCAGCAATCCCAGGTGTAGGTGCATTGCCTGCTGCCAGCACAAGTCCCTGCCTCGGAATCTTGCATCGTCCTAACACTCAGGCCTGATCTTGTCACAACCCTGCTTTAAAACGCTGCCAAGGCCCTTAGGAGAAATCTATGCTAAGGGCCTAACCTAATCTAAGTTCAACACTTAGCACTCTAGAGGATCTGGCCCACCAACCCTTCTACCTTCATCTTCATCACACCTCCCCACACAGCATGCTGATTTCCAGCCACAGCTAAATGCTAGCAGTTACCTCTAACTCTAAACAGACAAAAAGTCAGGTTTAAGGCACAGAGCCCTGACCAGGCATTTCCTCCACTAGGAAAGCTCTTCTTTCCCCCATGATGCCCTATACCCCATTGCCCAGCAAAGTGAGTTATTCCTGCTTTTGTCCTGGATGGAAAAAGCTCTGATAGGTCACTTTGTACATCGGACAGTGCCCTCTCCCCAGTTCTGCTGTTAGCTCCTAGAGGGAGAGAAAAAAAATCAACAAGCACAACATACCTACTATAGGCCAGGCCCCATGCTGATTGCTTTCTGTCCACTAACCCATGAAGAAAGTTCTTTGCTCACTATTACCATCCAGCCCAGAAGTAGGACACAGCTTCGTCCATTCAAACTTACCAAATGCCTACCACACACCTGGCTCTGGCCCAAACACTGAGAATATGCTGGTAAATAAGCCAGACATGATTCCTACTCTGCTCTCGTGGAGGACAGACACAGTAAACAAGTAAACACATAAAGAGTTATCAGGTAGGGCGCCTGGGTGGCTCAGTTGGTTAAGCGACTGCCTTCGGCTCAGGTCATGATCCTGGAGTCCCTGGATCGAGTCCCGCATCGGGCTCCCTGCTCAGCAGGGAGCTTGCTTCTCCCCCTGACCCTCCCCCCTCTCATGTGCTCTCTCTCATTCTCTCGGTCTCAAATAAATAAATAAAATCTTTAAAAAAAAAAAAAAAAAAGAGTTATCAGGTAGTGAAAAGGGCTGTAAGGAAGTAAAACAGGGCCATGAGAAAGTTCCTGGGGGAGAAAATTGAGGATACTTTAGCTAGGCAGCTCAGAGGAGCCCTCTCTAAAGGACACTCAAGCTGAGATATACATGAGGAGCCAGATGTACCAAAAAGAGGGAACAGCAGGTGCAAAACTAGCCCATTCAATAAGTAAAAATGAGGCTAGAGAGACTGAAGGTCAGAGCAAGGGATGAGCTCAGAGGAAGAGGGAGGCCAGATCGTGTGCTCTGCGGCCCACAGAGAAGAGGTTGGATTTTACTCTAAGCACAAAGAGAAGCTGCTGGGAAGTGTTGAAGCTGAGGGCTGACATGATCTGCTGAACCTCTGTAAAAGGAGTTTTGCTGCCTTGTGTATGGAAATGGAGTAGCAGGAAGAGGAGGGCAAGCAGTCAGTGAGAAGTAGGTCCAGCATTGTAGGAGATCAGCTGCCAGAAGCAGGGATTTGGCCTCTGGAGCAATCTCAAGAAGGCAAAGATGGCTATGGATTTATAAGTCATGAGGATAATTGAAGGTATTAATCAGATCCAGGTTAGGGGCAGCAGAGTTAGGTAAACACCAGCCCAGGGTACTTGATACTTTCCAAGCTTCAGGTCCTTTACTGGAAAAATAGGCCTAACACTCCTACCACTTGGGGTTGTTGCACAAATGCAAGTTTTCAGCAACAGGCATGGGCCAGAGCAGGTACTCAAATGTGGGCGCCCTTTCCCTCATTTTTTTCTCATTTCTCTGAAAAGGGTGGGAATCTGATCTATGGAAGGAGGGATAGTGGCAGCCTTGGTCTCACCATTCCACTGTGTTCAGGTTGCATTTTAATGCCTGTAAGAAGGTAAGGAAAGTCTCCTCACTCAAGAGGTGAGAGAAAAGTAAGAAGAACCACGGTGTACATACAAGAAGAGAAAAAATTCCTCTTCTTTTCTTTTACAGTCTAAACTAAGGATTTGCCAAATTCTTGGAGGCATTAAAATTTGGTTATATAGGATAAGGCTGGCACCTGAAACATTTTGTCCTACAAAGAGCTTCTCTATAAATGGATATGTTAGAAGGGGGGCAGGGGGAGCATAAAGTGATCTGAGGAAGCATAGGAAACAGCTCCAGCTTTGGGACCAGGGGGACCTGGGTGCCACTTACCAGCAGCCTCCCTATATCCCAATTTCTTCAACTATTAAATGGTAACCACCACACTCCTTATAGGGTCACTTACCAGTAGCCTCCCCATGTCCCAATTTCTTCAACTATTAAATGGTAACCACCACACTCCTTACAGGGTCTGCCTGGGAAGTGGCAAACATGCAAGAAAAGCAAAGCCAATAAGACCTGTGTGGTTGCTATCTGCCAGTGTGTGGAAGGTCCAAAATTAGATTCAAAGGTCGCACAGTTAGTAAAGGAAAAAGCCAGGCCTCAAGCCCAGTTCTGACTTCAAAAGCATGTCCTTCATTATTCACCTACACTATTTACTAAAAACAACAACAACAACAAAAAACCTAAAAGTGCCTTGTTTTATTTTAACCTGGCTCTTCCATCTCCAACCTAGACTGGCTCAGAGTACCTGTCTTAAAATGTACTTGGACTTGAGTAAACAGAATTGTTAAGAGAAGGGAAGGGGAAAAGGGTAGAGAGGATCACATGACCCTTAACATTCATCTGATGACTGAAACACGACTTGAGTGGAAGACTTTAGGCCGGGTGACCTTGGGCAGGTCCCTTCCCTTTGAGCCTCCACTTCCTCCACTGTAAAATGGGGAAATGACCTCAGACTGCCTGCAGCATGGAACAGCTGGGAGGTAACAAAGATTAAAGTACTTAACACACTCATCACTACAACTGGGACCCAGTATGCCCAGCGACCAATGAGGCCATCCGCCACCAAGCCAATAAAACCATCTGCCCAATAAATATTCCCAAATGTGCTTGTAGGTGTAGAGAATATCATATAATTGGAAGGAAACAGAAGGCAATGGAAAAGAGGAACGTAACCAAATACTCGGGTCAGCAATGAAGAAAAGACTTCTTTTAGCTGTACACCCTTTTGTGCCAGGTGCTTCTATTATTTCATCATTTTCCTCTAAAAATAGAGCAAGTTTTAAAGCCTTGTCCACAGGGCTTTACCACTGTGGTAAAATGTGTCCAGAAAAGTAATGCACAAAGGTATAATAGTGGCTTCCTCTGGAGAAATAGGAGGGGCAATCAGGGGACCTTTACCTAATTTGAAATGTTCTATTTCTTCACAAGCAGAGCCATTCGTGTATTACCTGTATAATTAAAAATTAATTAAGTGATACATCTTTGGAGGGCATTTTGGCAATACCCATTATGACTGAAAATGCATGTGCCCTTTGCACCAAGCCAGTTCAGTTCTAGGAGCTTATCCTACAGATAGATTAGCACCCCCACCAGACTTGTTCTAGAAAATTCACTGAAGCATCATTAGCAAAAACTGGAAATGACATAAGTGTCCATCATTAAGAGTTATTTAAGAAAACGTTGGCACAAGTGTACAATGGAATTTTATATGACCCTTAAAAATAATACAGCTTTTGGGGCGCCTGGGTGGCTCAGTCCCCTAAGACTCGATTTCTGCTCAGGTCATGATCTTGGGATCCTGAGATTGAGCCCCCCCAGGGCTCTGTGCTGGGCGTGGAGCCTGCTTATGATTCTCTCTGCCTCTCTAAGAACTAATAATAATATAGCTTTGTGTGTACAGATATGGAGCCGTTGGTGTTGACTAAAATAGTGTCTACTATTTTGTGAAGAGAAAGAAGAGGAAGGGGGTTTACACACGAGTATGCTTGTCTTTACGTGGAGTTTTTCTGAAATGATACAAGGAACTGGGAAAAGCGGTTGACTCTGGTTGACTCTGGAAATGGGAACCAGGAGACCAAAGAACGGGTGAGCGGAGACTTCTTTTTTTAGCACTTTTTACATATACCCTTTTGGTAGTCTTTGAGTTTTCTTACTTGCTCGTGTATTACAAACTCATCTTGAAAACAGAAAAGCAGAAAACAAAACCAAAAACTTTAAGGAGGCACTCCTGCGCGGTTATGCTGGGTGGGAAGAGGTTCCAAGTCAGCCGGCCGCGAGTTCGAGTCCCAGAACCTCTGCTCCCTTGCCGCGAGGGGCCTTCAGCGAGCCCCGTCCTCCTCTCGCGACCTGGGGGGAGGAGGCGGGGTGCCGGCCGTGAGGTGAGGCCGTCTCCCTTCCCCGGCAGCGGCTCGGGCGAGCTCGGACACGGCGCCCGGCCGCTCCGCCCAGCGTCCCCGAGCCCGGCTCCCGCCCCGGCCCGCGCTCACCGCCAATGATGGTCCGGATGAGGGAGGCGTGCCCGGGGCAGTCGACCAGCGTGACCTGAAGCTGCGGCTCGCCGGGCTCGGGCTCGGCTCCGGACGCCGCCGGGGGAGCGGGCAGCGCCGACCGCAGGCGCGCGGGCAGCGGCACCGAGAAGCACGAGAAGCCCAGGTCGAGCGTGATGCCGCGCTCGCGGCTCTGCGGCTGCTTGTCGAAGGCGGCGGTGGAGGCCGTGGTGCTCAGCGCCCGCGCCAGCGCCGTCTTGCCGCTGTCGATGTGGCCCAGCACGCCCACATTCACGTTCACCCGCCGACCTGCCATGCCGCCGCCGCCGCCCGCCGGCCCTCCCCTCCCGCCGCCGCCGCCGCCGCCGCCGCCGCGGTCCGGCCGGTAAAGCCGCCCCCCCCGCAACCCGCGCGCCGGGCACGCCCGTTCCGGCCCCGAAGCTTCCGCCCTCTCGGCGCCCGCGGGCGCTGCCTGGCACCGCGCAGGAGGAGGAGGCTCCGGGGTCGGGAATTGACCAAGGTCACCTACTGTGGGGCTGTTCTCTCCCCTGGCTCCTGCCACCCGATGCCTCGAGGAGATTGAGAATGGGGGGATCCGTCCATCCATCCGTTCATTCAACAGGCTCTTATTATGTGTCTACTGAGTACCAGGCACTGCTTATTCACGGCACTGGGATACAGTGCTCTCTCCATGCTATACTATATTGGAGCGCGGGTGGGGGTCAGACAGTAAACAGGTGAACTAACGCCTGAACCAGATCGTTTCAGAGAGGGAGAAGCCTTCCAGGGAAAATAAAAGCAGAGATTAAGAGGACTAGCGCGCCAGTAGGGAGGACAGCTAATTAACAATGAATGGTCAAGGGAAGAAGGCCTGTCGCGGGTTGCTGATTGAGCTGAGGCTGGAATGTTAAGCCGGAGTCAGTATGGGGGAATCTGTTAAAGGCTGTTAGAAGATGGCAGAGAAAGATGTCATCTCTGACTCAGGAGTTCTTGCCCTTTGGGTCTGCAGCCTGGCCTCAGGAGGGGCTGCAGAGCCCCAGATTGTATGTAAAATGTTATGCTATGTGCTTGTACTGGAGAGGGTACAGGATTCTCAAGAGATTCTTGAAGTGTCTGGAGCCACTAAAAAGGTTGTCAACTACAGCTAACAGCCAGGGGTCACAAACAGGGGTCTTCACTGGCTAGGCAGATGACTCAAGGAGAGAGATTAGCAGGGCTTAGATGCCAGTGAGTGTGGAGACTGGAGGCCTGAAGAGCTTCCTTTGTAGAGGAAGCCACTGCTCAGTTCCAGCCAACTGATACCACGCAGGAATGGCAGGAATGCCAACCCCACATTGCCCATCTTCCCATTTTTCAAGAGAAGAGAGTGTTTCTATATGAAATTTCTATATGCAATCTTTTACATGTCAGCAACTAATTTAGCTTTTAATTTAAACACTAAGGTAGCCAAGCACAAAATCCATTCAATTCTGCCTGGCAGCCAGTTTGCCATCTGTAATGAGCCAGGTCATGTTCTGATATAGTCAACTTGGCAGTAACTGCTCCCTGATGCCTCCTGTGGTCCAGGCCCTGCGCTAGCAACAGAGTCCCTGGGAGAAGCAGACGCGGTTTGTTCAGTCCCTTGTGCAGCAGAGAAGAGGAGGACATGTGCTGGGATAGCTAACACCATGCAACTACCACTCGAGGAGACACATGCACAACACAGGGTGAAGACTTAGGGCAGGGGTTTAGAGAAGGCCCAGGTAGGACACTTCTGTTTGTCAGGCACATGGCACTCACTTGTGGAAAAGTTACTGCTATGTGCTTGCACACAAAATACCCGTACAGAAGAGAAAAAGCTGCATGGTAAGCTTATTCTGAAAATGTCTTTCCAAGATTTTAGTCTGAACCTGTGGCCTTCTAAAATGTCACAGGCAAGAGCTCTGGAGAGTCAGTTATAGGCTGTGATATTGTGATTTATAGTAAGAAATATTTACTTGGTCTTCTTCCTGGCACAGCTCCAAAAACCCTTGGAATTTCCTGTGATGACAGTGAGAAAGGTGTCTTTTGTTATGTTCCTGGGGTGACTTTTGGAAAGCACCTAAGAATGGGGGCTGGCCACCAGGGGAGCCAACCAAGTGATTGGAGTTGGAACTCTCAGTCCTACCCCCTAACCTCTGGAGAGGGGAGAAAAGAGGAACTGGAGATTCAATCAATCGCCAATGGCCAATGATTTATTCAGTCACGCCTGGATCATGAAGCCTCCCTAAAACCCCAAAAGAATAGCGTTCAGGGGCGCCTGGGTGGCTCAGTTGGTTAAGCGACTGCCTTCGGCTCAGGTCATGATCCTGGAGTTCCGGGATCGAGTCCCACATCGGGCTCCCTGCTCAGCAGGGAGTCTGCTTCTCCCTCTGACCCTCCTCCCTCTCATGCTCTCTGTCTCTCATTCTCTCTCTCTCAAATAAATAAAAATAAAATCTTTAAAAAAAAAAAAAAGAATAGCGTTCAGAGAACTTGCACGTTCAAGGAAAGTGGCGAGCTCAGATAAGGTATGGAAGCTCCATGTCCCTTCTCACATACCTTGACCTATGCATCTCTTCCATCTGGCTGTTCCTGAGTTAAATCCTTTTGTAATGAACTTGCAATCCAGTAAGTTGTTTCTCTGAGTTCTCTGAGCTGCTATAGCAAATTAATTGAAGTTGAGGAGAGGGTCTTTGGAACTTCCCATCCATAGCTAGCTGGTCCTCAGAAGCACAGGTGACAAGCTGAACTTGCAGTTGGCTTCTGAAGGGGTGGAGGGCAGTGTCATAGGACTGAACCCTTAACATGTGGAGCTGATCTCCAGGTAAATAGTGACAGAATTGAGCTGAATTGTAGGACACTGTAGGGGAGGAAAAACTATTCCCTTCCTCCTTCCTAGGTTCTACGGCTGGCCTAATCATTAAATTGACGTAAGACAGAGTCACAGGCTAACTAAGCAAATTTAGTTTTGTACATATGAAAACTCATAAAAATATGAGACTCGAAGAAGTAACCAAAGCACACAGCTTTTTTACCTTTTAGATAAAGAAATAATAAGTCTGTGAAGAATTGACAAGAAAAAGAAGTTGGAGCTTGGGGTAGCAAATTAGTGAAAAAGTAAACAAGGTTTATTTATACAGCATTCTGGGCCCTGAATTCCCTATCTCTGGTGATAAGGATGTCTTCAACCCAGGTACCCTTCACATGGGAAATTTATTTCCTGCTTTCAGGGAGATAAAAAAAGGGTCACAATGTCCTTATTGTACTGGCTGTTTCTTAAGTAACTTTAATTCAAAATAATCCATTTACCAAAGTGGCATAATTGGGGGCAGCCTGCCCTGAACCCCAACAACATTGGTAAAAGCAAGACAACTGGTCCAAAATGGAGTCGCTTATGCAAAGCCCTATGTCAACAAACTGAGAATTAACTTAATTACAATTTCAACTCTCCCAGAAATGGAATCTTAAACCAGTCATTGAGGAATCACCTGATCAGCACTAGTTAGGTAATCAGCTTAATAGATTCTCATCATCTCTTAAAGGAAAGTAACCTTACAACCTTGTGATAACCAACCCACTTTTTCGCCTGGTATAACTTCCTTGTTCCCGCTCCCTTTTGCCTATACAAGTCTTTCATACAGCTCCTCAGTGCTTCTTTCTATCTGCTAGATAGGATGCTGCCTGCTTTTAATCAATTTTTGCTCAAACTCTTAAAATTGCTAATATGCCTCAGTTTATCTTTTAACAACACCCAGCTGGTATTAGGCAATTGCTTAGTGGTGTGGGAAAACCCACACACTGGAATTGGGGCCAGAAATGGAAAGGCATGGGCGCCTGGGTGGCACAGTTGTTTAAGCATCTGACTCTTGATTTCAGATCCAGACCCTCACTGGGCTTTATGGTCAGCGTGGATTCTGCTTGAGATTCTCTCTCCCTCTCCGCCTGCCCCTCCCACTCGTTCTCTCTCTCTCAAATAAATAAATAAATCTTAAAAAAAAAACAAAACCCAGAAATGTAAAGGCCAAGGCCAGGAGACTTTCCAAGAGAAAGTTGAGATTTGTGTTCAGTGTTCAGGACCCATTCCTCAAGAGAGATGTTCTGAAAGCATTTCAGTTCCCAACCCTTTGTCCTTTGGGCACCAGGGAATGTGGTCTTTGTGAATAGGCATGTTGTACTATTTCTTTACTATATTGTTACAGCAATAAAATATTATACACAACTGAAATATCCTTGAAAATAGATGCTATGGTAAGTTTACAATTGCATCAAAATAACAAGTTACCAAGAAACAATATTTTGAAAGAAAGAGAGTGTGTGGTGGTCTAGATGAACTAAAACTGGCCATGAGTTGATCACTGTTGAAGTTGTGTTAATGGGTCAGGGTGGGGAGAGGATTCATTATATTTTTCTACTTTTTGTATATGTTAGAAATTTTCCATAATAAAATTTTTATTTATTTATTTTTAAAGATTTTATTTATTTTTTTATTTGAGAAGGGGAGAGAAGGAGCAGGGAGAGGGGCAGAAGCAGACTCCCTGCTGAGCAGGGAGCCCGACATAGGGCTGAATCCCAGGACTCCAGGATCATGATCAGAACAGAGGGCAGACGCTTAACCAACTGAGCCACCCAGGCACCCCTATAGTAAAAAAAATTTTTTTTAAAGATTTTATTTATTTATTTGACAGAGACAGCGAGAGCAGGAACATAAGCAGGGGGAGTGGAAGAGGGAGAAGCAGGCTTCCCGCTGAGCAGGGAGCCCGATGTGGGACTCGATCCCAGGACTCTGGGATCATGACCTGAGCCGAAGGCAGCCGCTTAACGACTGAGCCACCCAGGTGCCCCCTATAGTAAAAATTTTAAACAGGAAGAGAGAGAGAGATCATGGTATGGCCACAGAGTGGAATATTATGCAGCCCTCAAAAAGAACAAAGACGGAGGGGTAGACGAACCATGAGAGACGATGGACTCTGAAAAACAAACTGAGGGTTCTAGAGGGGAGGGGGATGGGAGGATGGGTTAGCCTGGTGGTGGGTATTGAGGAGGGCACATTCTGCATGGAGCACTGGGTGTTATGCACAAACAATGAATCATGGAACACTTCATCTAAAACTAATGATGTAATGTATGGGGATTAACATAAGAATAAATAAATAAATAAAATAATAATGTTTTATCCTAAAAAAAAAAAAGAACAAAGACAATGTTTATATACCACTTGGGAATAATTTCTAAGATATATTAGTAACTGAAAAAGAAGTAAGGTACACACCCATACGTGTGACATGTGTACTTCTATGAGAAAGGCACTCCTTCTCTATGTTTGCTTGAACAGTGTAGAATAGCCCTGCAAGGATACACACGAGTGT